CTTTCCGAAATCGGCTTAGCTCAGTATATGCCTCAAGGCGGACGGGTTCTAACGCCATTGTAAAAGTTACAATCGCAACAAGACGCAAAGTTACACACGGGCAGCTTGTTGCAGCCAGCTGTACGCAATGGCACACACATTTGGACAGCTCGTCCAAATACCTCTTGCATGCAACTTTTTTCATCATATTCTCGTCCGGACCTGATTTTCGACTTCTTCGAAGCGGTTTATTTCTCTGAATAGGCGATTTCTGAGTTTTGCTCGCCACTTTTGCACTATTTTGGACCATGACTTCAATTAGTTGTCTAAGACTAGATACCTCAAAATTATCAGGATTTACGCTTTCATGGGCGGAAGTGCTGTAGTGGCAAGTGGCACACTTCACACATGCATGGTCACAGTTTCGAATTCTGGATCGATATTCGCCCAGACCGAACAAGCCTTACATCCCTCCTTAGTCGATAATCGGTATCATACTCGTCTGAAAGGGGTAGTCGAATGATTGGGCGCATTCCTCAAACGGGATTGATGAACGCCCAAAGACTTCATGCTTTCAAGGGTGTGGGTAACTTAGGAAGTCGTTTCTTACAGTGATGCGGTGAGATGTTAAGAGGGGATTGCCGCATTAGGGGACAATAGCGTAAGACGTCTGTTGGTGTTCATGGCCTAAAATTCGGAGAGGAGCTGTTGGAATAAGAAAAGCTGATATCAAGGGTATTCAACCACAAGTACCGATAGCTTATTTCAGAGATATGTGCAGACAGAGAGACAGTGTTCACTGCTAAAGTGACGATGCCCCACCAAAACCAACGAAAGGTGAACTAGCGGCCTGCCTGGAGCTTAGGTAAAAACCTCCAAATCGTAGCATAAAATCGTTCCCTTGTCTGTTTTGCACCTTTCAAACCTGACTTAGACGTATTTGAATAATGAAGAGAAGGAAAAGTAACAGTTGGCCGAAATTGCTTCTACGATGGCTGTTGAGGCATTCGATGGCAGCTTGTATTGGACAACGTGTCACCACCAGTGGCATTTCATGGTCGTGATTTCAGAGGATACCAAAATCAAAACCGAACACAAAAGAGACGGGGGCAAAAAAGAGCCCCGCAAGGTCACGCATTTGTTTGTAGCATGCACTGAGTGATGCGGAAGCCACTGTTAAAATTCCAACAGGATCTAGGATTGCTTACTGAAGAACGCGATCGACATATACACGAATTTGCCTACCCACACCCGTGGTCTGCCCATGACCTTTTTCGATACGTCGTAAACGTGAAGAGGTAAGAAGAGGGTATTGAAATATCAGTGGGATCGTCCACGATGGGTCGACTCTCCTTGATGCGAAGATGTCGAATCAAATGGTATATTTCACAGTTTTGGAAGGAAAACACTCGAAATAAGGCGGGCAACACAAAATTTGGCACTGGGTCCTATAGGGATTGGAGCAGCAACAGTGTTTTTATGACGGAGCAAACTGATTCAACTAAAGCTCTGAAGGTACTTAATTAATCACGTGTGACCTTACTAATGTAGGAACTGCTTGTCTGGTCTGAATCCATGCGTCTGTCTGAGCTTGTGTAGTTCTGGATGGTTATGGAAACGAGTGGGAGCAATCGTACTGAGCACAATTTTCGTGTCAAGTCAATTTCTGGGAAGTTACCGATGAAGAGTGGACAAATGCATTTAGGAGATTTCCCCTCAGAACCTCTTCCTCATTGAACGACACAGTATGAGGGTATGTATTTATAGTGGAGGAGAACTGATTCTTTGTAAAAAAGGAAGAAAAAAGACTATGAATGAAGGTTCCGCAGGGATGCGTTGTTGCCTAGATCTCTCCCTCTCTCTCTCGCTCTTTTTTTCTCTCTCTGCCTTTGAAGCTTCCCTTTGGCTGCTTTCATAGTCCGCCGGCCGGTCTGCGAACGCGCGAGCGAGCGCGCCGGCAGGCCGGTGGACTATGAAAGCAGCCTTTGCACCCGTCCGCATTATAAGTCTCGTCTCTCTCAAAAAACTACAAACTTAAGATGAAAACCTCACGCAATCGGCAAGCCAACTGTCTGTTATGTTCGCAACATTGTCAATGAGTATAGTTATAAGTTTTCTTTTGTTTGGTTCGAAGCCTCCGTATGTTAACTTCATTTTATACTGCTGTTGCGATCTGCCTCCCGCAAACAGAAGATCGGACAATAGACTGTCGCCTAAATCTACAACCCAAAAAACAGCTATCCAGTTTTGCACCGTAACGTTCCAGATCTTGCAGGTGTTCACCGTGAAACCGAGCGCAAGTGTCTCAATAGCACTATTCAATAACACTGTTTGATTTTGGCCCCTCAACGTTCGCATATTCATTCAGAAATACTAAGCAAACATAGGTATGAATTATCAGAGTACCGCAGAAAAATGGAAACACAGAAACTCAGTCAGGATACCAAACCAGCTGTGATTCCTGGTTAGTTCTCCTGGTCGTGATGCAACACGCCAGGTGACTGCCACAGCCACCTCCCCCCTCCCCATGTCATTGTTCAGGACTCAGGGCCTTTTTCCGATGTAGGATCAGAATTTCATCATGGGGACCCTATTACTAGAGGGACTCTGCGGTTGATTAGAATGCGACAAATGCAAAATTTCTGCGGCTTAACCCTTATTTGGATTCACGCATCCTCAACCTGTCACATATACGACGCATTCGGAAGGGCTCTTATCAAGGACACGTCGAAAAGGCACTTATTGGTTTGTTATAAAGCTGAGTTCTCCCTTATCAGCCGTTATCACTTCTTCCCGTCCGTCAATCAGAGCCGGGTGGCGATATTTGAACCAAAATTCCCACGACAAGCGGTGGTGGTTTCGCAGCGAAAACTTCCAGTGGAAATTCACTTCTTCCCTTTTTCTTTGTTCTTCCCGGAGGGCGACTGGGCGCGACCGGGGCTGCGAACTCGGTGAGATTTAAAACAACGTACCATCTCGTCATCACTTTCTGTAGTTGAACGCTTCAGGTCTGAGGAACAGGCGTATAGCTCAACGGGTGCTGAGAAGACGGAGCTTTTGTCTATTTTGCATGAGCTCTGAAGAGAAATGGTTATTATCTGACTGATTAGGAGACAGAAAAGGGTCTCCCTCGCGAGTTCAAGCAAAATCGCCCATACACTGGAGGTGGAGGAGGGTCTTACCACTACAGTCATCAGGAGACCTTGCCGCCTCCCTCCTTCCGAGCAACAAACATGTAGGATAAATTTTGAAAATTTGATGATCTTCGTTCGCGATCATTTTCTTTGCCAGTTTGTCAACGACTTGATGAAAGGACTGCTTACTGACAGTGGGTGGTGTCTACTTCTGGTAGGCAGGATATGGTAGAGACGGAACTTTGGCTGAACCGGGGTCAGGGCATAATGTNAATTTGAAAAACTTTACCTTTCTGTTTAACCCATTGACGACCCACCGGCGGGCCATACCATATCGTGCTCGTGTAGTATTTATATTATTTATCAAGTGTTCTTATAATTTTTTCATGTTTTCAAGTATCAGCTGAGCTCACAGCCTTCTAGAGGAACTTGAGGCATCGTGGTCCAGGAATCATTCATTTCTAACTACAGTTATAAAAGAAATTAAAAGTTAATGTAAGGACAGTCTAAAAGGTGCGGTCGCAAATGGGTTAACAAGTTGGATTTCATAGTCCCGTGGGTTACTTGGTAACCCGCAGACACACCAAGCGCCTCCAAACACTGGGGCTCTAGGGGGTTACTGTATCACATTTTCACGGGACTTTGAAATCCTTCCAATTTCTGTCTAAGGTTACGGGGTTAGTGCCAATGAAAATTACTCTCGTAGACAGAATCAGACGGAGAAACAATCTCTTCGGGTCGGATCCGCCAGCGAAAGTAGGGCGTGCCCGCTCGTCAACCGTGCTCTCCTTCGGAGCGCTCCTTCGTCGAGTGGTTATGTGAAGGGGTACGAGAGTCGAAGGTCGGTCAGGAAGGACTTCATGAAACTATGAGAACGATCTCTTTTGCTTGCTCAACCCTCAACCACCAACTTCAGGGGGAAATAGGGAAATACCTATGGAGAAGGCGCACAGAAATGGTTAAAAATGCTGCGTCACTTCAACCTCAGTTAGCATAAAGCCGATTACCTGGTAACTAGCTGCTTGACGACGAGGTCACTGTAGGAACCATGTGCCATCCCTGATTTTCTTTACTGTTAGCTCAATGTTGCCTGTGTATAAAGTAAATTTCGCGCTCCGAACGCGATCAAGTGCGCCAGGCACTAGGTCTGGCAAGATGCCAAGACCTACGGCTAGGTTGAGGAATTTAGAAATGGTTTTTTGTACTGTTATGAACGTAGTTACTTTGGTTTTTTATCAACATCTTCGACCAGCTATCAATGGGTGCAGTATTTATGTATGTGTTATTGTCAATGTTCAGGGTGAATTCGACCTTTCTTCGAGCATAATATTGGCGTGGCATTGCTGGGCAAGCTGACCCTTTCGAACGCTTCTGACGGTAAGGCGTACTTTAACGAATGCATTCTGCTTGGAATCCCTTGAAACAGACTGAAATTATAGTTGATAAGAATACATCGGTATGTGTTTGTTCGAGCACTGTGTAGTCGTATGGTAGTCATTCCCTCCATTTCTTTGTTTTTAGATGGAAGCAGTCAAGAGAAATCCAGATATCTCTGTGGATGATCTTCAGTCCGAGTTCGATTACCAAAGTGAAGTTGAGCGTCAAAAGCGGAAGCGATGTGATTTGAACGAAAAGAACTTTAGTAGTCTGGTCAGTCTCATGCTACGAGTTTTAGTTGCATCACTTTTCAGTTGAATGTTTGTATGAGACCTAAATAACATGGGTTTTAGTCAGTTTGGAACTGCCTATGTTGACCAAAAGAAGTTGAAGGGATATGCATTTTCCCATTGTCGCACGCAAGAGATGGAGCGTTGCAACAGCTACAGCTGTGCTCGCTTTTGGCTGCTGACGCAGTGAATATTGACTGAACAATACAAAAGGCGAATAATCATTCATTCCTCCTTATAATAGAGTGGAAATGTAGCATACTGGCCTTTATGGAAGTCTAACGTAAAAATCAGCGGGAATAGCGCGATTGGTTGAGTTCTGTAGCAAGAGTTGGTTGCAAAAGTAAGTATTATGCTGAGTATTCTTTGCGAAATTGTGAGTTCAGACTGTTCAGACTAAGCCAATTTATTGTTTTTGTTCAGTAGGAAGTACACCGTAAAATATGACCTATGAATTTCGCACCCAGTCGGGGTTACGTAGCACATAATGCGAAGCAACTCAAATGTTAAAAAATAGCGTTTTTCCAAGAGGTTGGGTGTCGGCACGAGTTGTTTGGCACGGAAATTTCGTCATGTAGGCGGCATCGTGCTGGTAATGAAGTAAATTTGTTTCAATTAGCAAAGTGATTGCGAAGGACTGCACCAGGGGACCGCCTAACGACCTTCCTAAACACCACTGATCATAGGTGATCTGATCGCAGTCAACTCTCTTACCAAACCAGTTTATGTTCAGTCCACTAAAATTTTTCTTAAGGAGGAACGACCGGGTCGCAGCGAGGCGCGGGCCTGGTTTCAGGACGAACATGGTCGTGTGCACAGGTTAGTTAAGGATAAAGTGATTCACAGAATATGATCGTTTCATGATAATCCCTCAACAGGCAAATGTCTCGTATGATGGCGATGGACGCTTACTCTCGGCACAAGGAGTTGATTAATTTGTATTATTTGTCGCACCCTGGAGCGACCAAAATGTTACAGCGGGACACTAGTAAGGATCGAACTGATTATGATGTGCTCAAGGTTAGTAATAAGTGGATTTGTATGGTCATCGAGCTTCTTCGTCATTCGATCTTATCTCAGGACAATCATAAATTTCTATGGAGCGAAGAGGATGAAGCAGCCGTTGCTACAAATTGGGAAGCTCGAATGGCCAAAAAATATTACGACAAACTATTTAAAGGCTAGTGAGTCCTCTTTCCGATTGGAAGTCTTCTTGAGAGCTTCATTTTCTGTAGTTCTTCTAATTACTTCTTCCTCTCTTTCGAAGGTTTTCTTCATCTGTTTTTAGTGTTTAGAGTACTGCATCATTGATCTTACCTACTTCAAAAAGAATAAAATAGCAATGAGATGGCGAACAGAGGCAGAGGTTCGTTCTGGGAAAGGACAATTCATATGTGGTGCAAAGAAATGTCAAGCTAACAGCGATTTGTCAAGTTGGGAGGTAAATTTAGTCTAAATAGTTCGATCTGGCTTTGATTTCACTATTGTAAGGCTGTTTCGGGTGAATTTTGCGTACACGGAAGATGGAACAAAGAAAAACGCCCTTGTCAAAGTTCGGCTCTGTCGTCAGTGCTCTGAAATGCTCAATTATGGATCACAGAAGAGAAGAATTGAGAAGAAAAAAGCTTTGGGAAAGAAGAAAAAGGCTTCAGGACATTCTGGCGGCGAATCCGATAAGGAGCACAAATCAGATTCTAAGCAGGAAGCCACAGGTCTGTCAATCCATAATTATTTTCCTCGATGCTTTCCTCTTCTGTTAATACTTAATACCTCTTGGGTTCTTGCAAAACCTCACGATCTACAGTTTCATCAAACTCTAATAGGTAATTGAATCTATGTACCTGGATAATCATTTGTAGTTATATTAATTCGCTTTCTTCATGATCGCAGCATACATACATAGCAGCAGGACACATCGTTATTATTGCGCACCACATGATGATCATGCTTCCTTTTCATCTGCAAATGTCTCAGCTATAACAGTTCAACGTGATTTGAAACATACCTATTCAGGAGCGTAATCCAAATTTGCAAGAGTAAAACTGTACCGAAAAATAATCAGTGCTCCTGTGCAGAAAATTTTTCTAATGGTGGAACATTTATTGCGCCCGACGCCTAAGGCCCCCCCCCCCTCTCACTTTCTTCGACTCAACTTTCCAACATTTCTGTTGATAAAAACCTCTGTTAGAAGTTGCCAAAATATTCGGAGCACCATCCGCTATCCGTCTGAGTGGGACACCGATAAGGGAAAAACAACCGTGTGAATAAGAGAAAACAGCAACAGAACAATTAATTATCTCAATTGCCCTCTGCAATGGATAGAGGCTGAAATCATTAGCATTAGCTTATAACGATTTCTGCTTTTGTTCGCATATTATGCGAACTCTGATTTTTCTAGATCGGTGGTTACTTTACTTGTACTTGCTCTTCTGCCTCTCAATTTACATTGTTCGTGTTCTCACGACCATTCGGAATTGCTAGCTTCGGCATACATAGCTTCACTTCAGTTTTCGTTATTCTCTTAGTTATAGGGATTCTCCTTCGGTTCTCCCAAAGATCCTTCGTGAATTGAATGTGTGCGATGCTTTCAGTGCTCTTCCAAGCACACTTAATTCTTTTTCAACGACCTGTACTTCACTTTTGTTAAGAGCTTGAGTAAGGAGACGTCACTATTGAGGATTTAATTGAGTTTTCTTTTGGCAGTTACCTGAATCATTTGTGTATGTTTGGTCATCACTTGCTTGAGGCGCCAGTAATGCCTCCGTTTTTCTTGTCACGAGCCAAAGCGGTCCAGTGAACCTTCGTCGCCCGAGAGTACGAGGCGTAGCATTCTTTCGTTCACAGCTTTCGTGAAAAATCTGACCGTGTTGGCCACGTTTCTGGTGTATGTTTAATGTGCAGAGGGATCCAACCAGTAATAGCCCTGGTCCAGCAACCATCAGGAGATTCCATACGAAGTCGCTGACTACATGCTCATCCTGTTTGCGTAGAGTTAATGTCCCTGAGGTGACGTCAAAGCAAAAAAGGCTCCAGTGGCAAAGAGCTGGAAGTCGGATGTTCGCCTTTTTTATTATGCCCTCGATTTCCTTGAATTGTCCTCACCTCGCGTTTTCCTTCTGCATGGCTCCAGGGCTGGGTCGTTTATCATGTTGACTTCTCGACCTAACTACACTCGTTGCTAGAGCTTTCAAAGATGTTCGTTCCGATCAACGTGGAATGAACACTGGGTACCATAGCATTCCTCATGAATCCGCCTAGGTCAACCGTGTTGGTTCCAGGGCAGATAAATGCTGTGACTTGTACGTCGGTTGGCAATCGCAGGTTATTGTGTAGACCACCATCTTCATCATTTATTTGCGTTCAGTTATCACTTTTAATTGCAATTAGCACTGCTTTTGAATAGTCCGCGGTCATGACAACCATTCAGTAGCGAACCATAAGGAAAACCCTGGTTGGAGGGTCTNTGGTAACTGTGTGTACCATATACAAGGCCAACATTCTTTTCTTCCTAGGAAGATGTTCGAGAAAGCCTATTGACCGGGTACAGCTCGGGCTGAATCATTTGTTTTAACTCTGTCGCATACGGTGACTTTCGTATCAGAAGAGCTAGTTACGAAATTTCAAAAAATGATGTTGAAGGTTGAATTAGTTGCATAGTTGCAGTGATCCCTATGTATTCTGTAACGGCAATTGTAGTGTCTAAGTTGGCAGCGGCACTGCGTGTTCACTACTTTTTCTTTAGAGCGTAGTGTTTTTTCGATGTTGGTTGATCTGATAGAGATCCATTTTTATTCCTTTACTAGGGTACCATAAGAGTTGGAAGGGTGTCCAGGTAGAGTGACAACATGCGCGTATATACTGCTACTACGTGTCCAAACTTTTTCATTATTTTGTGTCATTAAGTTTTCGAGTGTTACAAACCACTCGAATTGCTATTGTTTAAGAAGGAACTCCAACATCAAAGCAGCCGAGCGCTTCGGATGCGTGGAGTGGTACAGTACAGGAGACTACGAGAACGATTGACGACGATATTGATGAGTTTTTGGATGATCTCTTTGAGTAATCGAAATTTGTGTACCTATGAATTGTGCAAATATTTCCATAATTTCACGTGAATGGTAACTCTTTATTTTTGTGGTTTATATTATGTTTGCTACTCACATTTCTATGATTTGTGTTTTATACGGTTCAGTTGTTAGTACTAGATTTAGCTATTTTCGGTAATTGTATCCAAACTCCCTTCTATGGTGTCAGCTTTTCACCGTCACACCTTCAGCTGTCAGATTTGAGATGTTAATTTGTTCTGAGCTGATGCGGCTTTTTGATGCTCATAAATCTTTTTCCTATTACAGACGGCTGTCGAAAAATTGGCTTTTACATGGATATGGTTAATTTGTCGAAATGCTCATCCGCCTAGATATGATTCGCAAATTTTGGTAATTGAAGCGGCGAGGCCCTTTGATAGTCATACGTTTCTTATGCAAATGTCCAACAATGCTGGCAGGCGGAGCACAGCGTAATTAATCGGCACATTGCAAGATCATTCTTTGTCAGATATTTAAACTTGAGATACTGTTCAACAAGGAAGTTAAGGCTTGATGGTAGAATTCAGGTGCAAATCACAACAGCAAACCCGTTCCCGGGTTTGGGATAGCAACGCCACCAGGTGGGGTGCGAAACTAAAGCATGTCGACCGAGCATTCCTGACAGCTCTTCTCTTGTAATGAGGTTTTAGTGGCTTAGAGAGGCAGTGGTTAGCAGATACCCTCGACTCAGGGTTATGGCCGGTCATGAAGAATTTCTGAGGGAACGTAATTGATCTAATCATCTTCAGGTTGGATTATGCGAGGGATCAGGTTTCATACCATCAGCATTGTTCTGTTTGTTGCCTTCGAATTGGCATAAACTCATCTGGGCGGTTTTAGGGTTAACATTGCTTTCTAATCTTAAAGCATGGCAAATTTCAAAACTTCTCGATAAGCAAGGCATGGAAGACCAAAGCGAGACGGCAGAGATGCTGATGAAGCCTCCCATGATCATTAGAGCGTAATCTGGCATAGGATAGTAGTCCGTTCTGGTCTTGAGTGGGAGCACTCCTTGAAATAGAAGCTGCGATGCAGCAATGGGCCATTCTTCATATAATTCTCCTTGAGCAGCCCTTTATTGGAAATTAGTTCTGTCCCTGAACAACGACTGGCAGAGACAAAATTGTGGGCACAAGGATGTAGTGTATGGCATATAGCCTTCATCTTTGTTTGAAGTAAAAATTCTGCATATATTTGTCAACAAGGCTTCATTCGTTTCTCGCAGAGGGCATAATGTGTCCAGTTGAAGTTTTATCGGAGAATAATCAGATCACTCCCTTGAGTGTCTCTTAGTAACGGCGCGAAGAAGCGGTGTAGTGGTCAAGAGTTATTCGTATTAAAAATGCTGGCTCACGTTTAAATTAGGAAAATCTGGTTCATGGCGCAGATCGAAGCGTCGAGTGCTGATAGGGACATCTTTCTTGGAAGACCATTTTGGTAAAGCAGGTTCTGTAATTTCTGCCACCTTTTTCATCTAATACTGCTATAATAGAGGGGCCTTCACAAAAAAAANAAAAAAAAGTCAATTTTTTGTGGGTAAATTTGAGATCTCTCCAGGTGCCGATGAAGATCAATTCTGTTTTAGGTGGGTTCAAGATTACTGGTAGGGTCAAGGTCCTTAAGCCCAATAATTTATAAATTTACATCGATAGGTCGAGAATACGGTATGTCTAGTGGGATCAAAGTCAATCTTGTGAAATAAAACTGGCAATCATGGCCCAGAGATGATGTGTGTTAAGAGATCGTAATCGTTTCTCATGTGCTCATTAGCCATGCACGTAGTGACAAGAGCTGTCAGCTAGCATAAGTGCGCGAGAAGACGATGAACAGTGTATCCAGTGGGAATGAACCAAAACGTCTATCTTTCCCGAAAGACATATGTGGCATTACTTGAGCGGACGCCCGAGCACTGATTCCCGAAAATCTAACAACGGCCCATCTCCAGTTACCCCAGATTCTATCTTCAAGCAATTCGAAGTGCGCCCATGTGTAAGTTGATATGAAATGATGGAGCAGAAATAAATTGAGAGCAATTCAAACGGAGAAAACGGAATGCGAGCCTAGCCTCCCTCTTGCCATCCAGCAGTCCGTCCGTCCAACAGAGCCGTATGCCCACACATCTTTCTCAATTCGTTTTGCGCAGCACATATGTATTCTATTTCAGCCTCATTTAAATAATTTCATGGGTGCGGAAAATTGGAGACGCTCAGGAAATTGAAATATGTCTTGGGTATAATTGCACGGGAACCCTTAACAGTCGTTGTGAATTGAAGCCGATAGCTTTACATATTTTGTTGTGGGGGATGAGTTATTTTTAAAGCTCACACACCTCTTTTTATAAACCGTTATGAGTGAATTCTATGCAATGAAGTGGTGCAGCTTCATAGGACGTTAGTTATAAAAACTGTTCGAAAATCCCATCATAAGGGTAGTGTTCGTTGATCATCACACTGAATACTCACATAGGAGTGAATCAAATGAAATCGATCAGAAAAGTCCAGTTTTTTATGGTGACTGTGTTTTAGTGGTAGTAGACAACAATGAGATGAGCCCGACATGGTTCAGTCATCAATTTTTCGGAATTTCATTTGACTTCGCTTATAGTTTAATTCGATGAAGATCCATGCATATTATGGCCTCTCCCTATTCCCTCTGCAGACGTCGCAGATTTTTTTTGGTTGCATTGACCGCGTAGGCCTGTTTGGTCAATTTCATTTACTTTATTATGAAGTTAGTAGCTGTTACTGATAGAAAGTAAATGATTAATAGTATACTAAACTGAACTTCAAACAAAATTTCTCTCTTTGCTTTCTTATCTTAGTCCTGTTGCTTCGGTTGGTTCCGACGGAGTTGTTAACTCTTCATTTTCGTGGAACACTCCTAGACCGGCAAGATGCGAACATCGAGTATTTAAAGGTCGTAGGGGTCTCACTACTTCATGCCTTAGGTACTGCTTTCATGCTGATACTTTCTGTTGATGTACCAGCTTCGAGCTCTCCTAGCCTCGTCCTTGTACCGGTATTCCCGAGTACTGTAGATCTGAGAATGAACTTTGTGGAACGATTTCGCCAGTATAATAACCCTCGACAATGTTCAGTAGCTA